TGGATTTATGGGTTTCTATGTGCATGCAGGATACAAACTGGTGAAGGAACCAGCATAAAGGTTCTCAGTCAGGTGTTGGGCCATCACATGCTGCCAGAAGAGCTTCAGTGCACTTTGACGTTAATTCCCAGTCTTTGGAACTCTGCTGTAGGGATGGAGCACAATCCAAAAGATATTTCCTTATTTTGTGTTTCGATGATGGCGGTAGAACGTGCTGTCTAAAACATCAGTCTGAATCTTCTAGGGGATTCGGCTGAGATCTAATAACTGCACATGATTCCCATCATTTTCAAGCTTATTTAACTTTTAGTGAACCTTCATGTCCTTTAGATGGACTGAATGCTGTCCTGAAAGAGAGCACTCCCACCAGAAGGAATAAATTCTTCAACATATCAAGGTCATCATTCAAAACAATTGTGTATTGATTTGCAGACACCCTTCCCTCTACAAATGGACCCAAATCGTACATGGAAAATGTTCCCACACACCATAACGGAGGCTGTAGCTTCACATTTTGTCTGTAATTTGTTGTTACTGACAGACAGGAGCTTTATAATGACCATGAAGAAGAGCTCACGTCACATAAGAAAGCTGTTTGGCTCTCTCAGGTGTGACAAAGCAAAGAGCAGCGCTGATAGCAGACTGTGCTGACGGCCTGCGTTTATCGGCCGACACAGATGCATTAACCAACAGGGAATCCTGTTTACTGTAAAACGCTGTGAAGTCGTGTCCTGCTGCAGCAGAAAACACGACCTGATGCATGGAGTAAACAAACCTCTGTGAAGATCAACCTGAACGCCTTGAGGCCTGGTCAGAGGGTTCACCAAAAGTAACACTGAGCAGTTCTAAGTTTAGTTTATTATGGTGCAAATGTACATAAATATAGTAAAAAACCTGCACTACTGGGTGCAGGAAGGCCACAGAACCAGCTGCCCATCAGCAGAGCGGTGCTGCTTGACTGCTGGGACACGGCGGCCAATCCTCTGGAGAGACGGCTTTTTATGTAAATGCATTTTCCACACAAACACATCCAAAGTAAATCTATCAAGCATTTGTTCCCTGAGCCAGTTTGAGCCTCCAGCACTGACGTGACCCCTACCAAGTAAATCAAACGGGAAACAATCACAGGACACATTTATATAGCTTCTCATTTACTCGCACTGACAGCAGCGAGCAAGTACGTTTGATCATGGCGACAACAGGACAACATCTGAGAACAAGCAGAAGGTTTTGTCAGAAGTAGCTTCATGAATCTCACCTATGACCCACTCAGTACATTAAAACGAGGGCTCCACCGACATCGGCACACACAAAGCATTAAAAATCATAATTCTGTGTTCAGAAACTCACTCAGAATGCCAGTAAAAGGTTGTAAGTGGAACAGTGAAAACAGCAGAGTTGTTTCTGTGTCTCCATGTTTAATTATTCAGGCAGACTTATCACCCTGCATCCACTCCACAGCCCAACTAAAACTATTATTGTAATTGCAGAGTTGACTTGGCGGCGGCTGTACTTTCTAATCACTTGGCATCCCACAAATGAAGTAGATAAGACAATGAGAGGGGGATGCTAACTTCNTGAGCACACCGCGGGTCTCCTCGTAGATCAGACCCGAGATACGCTTGACTCCGCCGCGGCGAGCCAGACGGCGGATGGCGGGCTTGGTGATTCCCTGGATGTTATCGCGGAGGACTTTGCGGTGGCGCTTGGCGCCTCCTTTGCCGAGTCCTTTACCTCCCTTTCCTCTGCCAGACATCTTGCTATCAGATTCTCTACAAGCTCGTAGCCGAGTGAGAACCTCCTCGACAGGAACTCAGTGTTTATGGCTGAACTGCGGACGTGAGAGAGGACAGTCGGGGACCGGGTTACTGGGCGGTCATCACATGCATACTGATTATAAACCCTCTTATATTTACAATAAACAACAAAGGACGAACTCACATCTTTGACTGATTGTTGAATCCAGGTTTCTATCACAGTTGCAGCAACAAGAATGAGAAACGCTCCCAGAATTAGAAGCAGCTTCATAGACCAAGTGTTCAAGTATTTAAACACATACAAAGGATTGAACTGAACTGTTTTTCGTTTGCTCTGTACAGTTTTATCATAAGAACACAGATGCATTTAAACAGCAGATTATGGACAGAAAACAAGTGTTGAACTACATACAGCTGTAGAAATGTGCGAACCAGCACATTTAGAGGTAGTTTAATACCTGTATTCATTAACAGTAAACACTGACACTTCATATACATGATGGAGGTGGATGATGGTGGAACAGAACCGAGAGCAACACTGCTCACATGAAATATCAACAGGTGTGGGCCATATCGTAGCTGTAAACACTCATAGAAGGATCATAAAACTACATGAACACAATATAAGAACACAGTGAAACTGAAAACCCCCCACAAGTAGCTGCATGTACGTGTGATCCAACACTGGTTTCTTCACATTATTTAAAAATGACCTGGCGTGCGGTGGACAGTCCAGTTTATCTGATATACTGATGAGAACGTAAAGAGCGTCCAAGCAGCACTTTTCTAAATCAGATGTAACAGAAAGAGACATGAAAATAGACTAATCAGAGTGAAGTTCATCAAGTTCTAGCTGTAAATGTTTTCCATGTTAGCTGTGTTTGTAGCTGGAGTCGTGTTGATGGTGAACACCTTCATCTCAGCTCTATTATGATCTGCTTCCATCCCTCCGTGTGAACGTCTGATGTCCTCATACAGTCTGAAGGTCTGAAAACTCAGCAGCTGAATGTGATGCCAGATCACCTGATGAACATATGAGGATCACGTGTCCTTTCACTTTGGATCAGAGGTCCAAAATGACGTTGAAATCCATCCAAAATTACTCAGATTCTCCAGAATGCTGTGTGTATCCCTCTCCTTTTTGATTGTTTCAGCCATTCGTTCCGTGTATATAACCCTGTGTCTCCTTTGGGGTCCTTCCATGGTAAATCACCTCAGGTCTCCTGGGTTCATGGACTTTATTTGCAAAAAATCATGGAAAAGGCGGAACCTAACCCAAAACATAACCCTGTTTTCACAGATCTATCCGGGTATTTACAAAATTCCATATTTTAGGTCAAAGTTTTGCATGATGTGTTTTTTTTTTATTTATTTCCGGAAAAGTTCGGAGATATGGGTGAGTTGGTACAGTATGACACTCTGTCCGTCCTGTTCTGTCTATTGACCTTTTTGTTCTTATGCCAGATTCCTCTCTTCTGCAGTTGGATTTTATTCTGCATTATGATTTTTGTTTTAGAGGCTCGGTGGTTAGCACCACTTCCTCTCAGCTAGAAGGTC